CAAATTGGTCCATGTGTAACACCCTGCATAAAACTCATATCCAGGTGGATCATAGACCTCAACATAAATCCATATACATTGAACCTGAGAGAAGAGAAAGTGGAAAGTAATCTTGAATGCATTGGCACAGGAGACAATTTCCTGAACAGATCACCAATAACACAAGCACTAAATCGACAATTAATAAATGGGACCTCGTGAAACTGAAAAGTTTCTGTAATGCAAAGATACCATCAAAAGGGTAAAATGGCAGCCTACAGAATGGGAAAAGATCTTTACCAACCCCACATTCAAAAGAGGCCTGATCTCCAAAATAAATAAAGAACTCAAGAAATTAGATGTTAACAAGCCAAATAACCCAATTAAAAATAGGATACAGTTTTAAACAGATAATTCTCAACAGAAGAATTCTGTTTTAAGAATACCTGAGAAAAACTTAAATAGTCAACATCCTTAGCCACCAGGGAAATAGAAATCAAAACAACCCTGAGATTCCATCTTATACCTGTTAGAATGGCTAAGATCACAAGCAACAGTTCATGCTGGAGAGGATGTGGAGCAAGGGGAACACCCCTCCATTGCTGACGGGAATGCAGACTTGTACAGCCAGTTAGTAAGTGGCAGTTTCTCAGAAAACAGGGAATCAATCTACCTCAAGACCTTTATCCATTCCTCAGCTGAGGGACATCTAGGTTGTTTCCAGGTTCTGGCTATTCCAAATTAAAGCTGCTATGAGCATAATTGAGCACATGTCCTTGTGGTATGATTGAGCATCCTTTGGGTAGACAGCTCTTGGGTATATACCCAAAGGATGCTCAATCATACCACAAGACTGCCTTCCTTAAACAAACAAACACACAAAAAGCCAAGAAATGAACATGTGTTGTAATAAAACAGTGGGCCACTGCTTCCTTGGGGGAGGGAACAGAGAGGAGAATGAAAGAAGGCCTGGGAGGAGAGGAGGGTGAGGAAACTCTGGCTGAGATATAAAATAAATTAATTAATTTTTTCAAATGCCCAAAGAGATATGAGACAAAATGTCTAAAAAATGTTGCTTGGTAGTTCTGAATTGTTTAATACTAAAACCTGAACCTAATAGGCCATCAAAAGTGTTTTAAGTATTCAAAGTCATGTACAGAGCAAGTATGCCCTTTTGCCCAGAATTAAGCCCAGCCATTGACAACCGGGACCTCACCGTTGTGTGCATTGTCTGTATGGCTAAGGGAACAAGCTGTTGAGTGAAGAAGGCCCACAGAGTGGGAGAGACCCCACCAGCTACCCATCTGACCGGGGACTGGTGTTCAGAATATACACAGCCAGAAAACAAAGAGTCCAGGAAACAAATGACCCATTCAAAGATGAGCTGGAGATCTAGACAGAACCCTCAAAACAAGAAATAAAAATGGGTAAGAAATACTGCAGTAAATATTCTCCATCCTTAGCAATTGGGAATTCAAATTAAAACGACCTTGAGACTTCATCTCCCCCACCAGACAAAGCAACTAATAACAAAGGCTGGTGAGGTCATGGAGGTGTAGGAACTCTCATTCATTCATTCCGTGGTTCTGGGAATTCAAATTGGTGCGGCTGCTCTGGAAATCAGCCTAGAGAATTCTCAAACAATTAAAAATAAATCTACCATACGACCCAGCTATACTTCACAGATATTTGCTTCATAATGTCTGTTCACAGTAGCTAGTCGGTGGAAACAACCTAAGTGACTTTCAACAGATGAATGGATAATGAAAATGTCATACGTATACTCAGTGGAATAATATTCAGATATAAGGAAAAGTGAAATTTTACATGAAATTTACAGGTAATTGGATGAACCCAGAAAAGATTATATTGAGTGAAGCAACCCAGACCCAGACAGACAATCGTTGCATGTTTTCTCTCATTTGTGGTTCCTAGCTCCAAATCCTAAGATGAGCGTGCACAACATGGAGTAACCATAGAAACCAAGAAAGTATGCTATAGGCAGGTAGAGGCAGGAAGGGGGCTGCAACTGGAGGGAGGAGGGAGGTCAGTCAATACAGACAGAGAAGGAGAGACAAGGGACAGATGACACCAAGGTAACCAAGGTAGTTTGATAAGACCTCAAGGAATCATTATTTTTATATTTACCTAAAACTGTAATTGTACACAGTGTGTGTGTGTGTATGTGTGTGTGTGTGAGAGAGAGAGAGAGAGAGAGAGAGGGAGAGAGAGAGAGAANGAGAGAGAGAGAGAGAGAGAGAGAGAGAGAGAGAGAGAGAGAGAGAGAGAGAGAGAGAGAGAGAGAGAGTTAGTTAGTTAGTTTTGGGCTGATAGTGTTCCCCAGCAAGAGCCATAGACTAAAAACAGACTCCAGTACCAGGCACAAGAAACCTCCTTTTGAATAGTTGGTCAGGGTAGTCCCACTGACTCCCAAAACAATATAGACCTTCATTGCAGCCCTTTGCTGTTGCCTCTTGGGAGTAGAGGGTGGACCTCTATTGCTGAAGGCACAGCAAACTTAGGACACAGGATTTGGATGATTAGGGCTGTGTTTGACTTGAAAAGTTTCCTTTCTGCAGTCTGGAAATGATACTAGAAAATGCCATGCAAGCTGCCAAGGCGGGGAAGCAGGTCACACAGCCCTACTCAGGACTCATATTTTATATGGAAAAGTATAACTCATATTTTAAGTGGAAAAATCAGGCAGAGACTTTTATTAACTTATATGCTTATAATTAAGCATAGACAATAGGCACCACAGTGTTGGCAATGATTATCTTGAGATGATGGAGTTAGGAAAGACTTCCATGTACTCTGTAATTTCCAGTTGATCTTCTATTATCTAGTGAAGATATTTCCATATTATAAAAAGGGAAGACCCAGAGTGGATGGCTATGTGATCTGTGTTGACTAGGGTCCACTATGGATGTGTTTTTGAGCCCACTCCATGACATCTATGGAATGAGGTAGAAAATGTTCTGTAAAGTATAGGAGTCTAGGTCAGCTCCACAAAATTAGATGGCTGGTTCTCTAGGTCTTCCTAAACACAGATCAAGACAAACAGCATCCTGTAGCATCTTGTGGTGGCTTCCACCCCTTTAGGATTGGTATCCATCCCTGGTCACCCTCTGCAGAACCAGACAAGCTATCTGGCTTTATTAAAAACTTCAGAATAATGTTCAGACTCGATTCAATTTTAAATTATTTTAATTTATACAATAATTGTATATATAATAAATACATGCTACAACATGGTATGTCAATATATAAATGCAATATGTTATGATCAAATCAAGATATGAGTACATCCATTGCCTCAGCCATTTATCATTTGTTTTAATATTCAAAGTCCTGTCTTCTAGCTATTTTTTATTTGACATAATTTTTTGATTCTTTGGGAATTTCACATACATTCCAATCCCACTATTTTCCAGTCCTTCTATGTCAGCCCTCCACCCTTGTAACCTCCTCCACCAAAGAAAAGGAAAATAATAATTAATAAACCCACTTCACTCCTGCATCTTACCCTCCACTCCATCGTATATGCTTTGGTTGTAGTGGTATTGGAAACTGTGAGCTGCAGTGTATCACACAGTAGACCCTTTTGCCCAAGAAGTTTTACTTACAAATGTTCATTTCAATGAGTGTTTTGGTCTGGTTTAAGACCTCTGGCTCCTGGCACACCATCACCACTGGGTCCTCACCAACGCCTTTGTGATATCCGCTAATAATGGAAATCCTGTGCCCAGCTTCCATAGGACCCACCCCTTCTCGTGCTCCAGCAGGTCATAGATGGGGTAGGTGTTGGGGTGGGCCAACTCAAAGCCCTGGATGTGAGCCTGGGTGGTAGCTGAATTGGTCAGTCTGGGCCTCTGCCAAAAACCACCCCCAAGACCGGGAGGGGGCAGGACCAGCTCTTCCTCATCCATGCCACCACCAGGGCCAGCGAGGGATGGAGGCCAGCTCAGCACAGCCCTTGGACGTCACCGTGGCTTTAGGCAGCAGTCCAGACCATGAGCATTCACGTGGTCATGGACATCAACACAGATCCTGGCTGCGGTGGAGTCGCGGACCCCCCCATACGTACCTCCCCCCAATACGCGCGCGCACACACACACACACACACACACACACACACACACACACACTGCAGCTCAGGCACAGGCATCACATGGTCTCAGGTAGCGCAGACCGCTTACATCAGCCTGTTCCTCACCGCATTGCAATCCAGTTCAGCCTGTCTTCCACATCACATGACCGCTCTACTTCTCTTTCTCTCCCACTTCTCCACCGGACATTTGCTCAACATAGTGGTACCCAGGGTCAGGCCTCCAGTCATGGTCTTCCACCCACCTGTGCTGCAAACGGGCCTGGCTTCTAGCTATTTTGAAATATATAATATGTTCTAGCTTCCCTGCTGTACAATGGAACACTAGAATTATCATGTGTGTGTGTATGTGTGTGTGTGTGTATGCACATGGGCACGTGTGTGTGTGTGTGTATGCACATGGGCACGCGTGTGTGTGTGTGTGTGTGTGATGGTGCTGGAGATGTAACCTGGGGTCTTGTGCATCCTATGCTTACACTCCCCACTGAGCTCTCCTCCCCAACCCTATCTCACTGTATTCTTCACCCTTCCTCCCTCTGCCCGGCCCTGCCCTGCCTCTGGTAAGCACTCCTCTACCCTCTACTGCAATGGGACCAGCTTTAGCCTCTGCACGGGAATGAGAACACGTAGCATTTGCCTTTCTGGACCTGGAGGTTAACTTTCTTAATTGTCTTTTCCCTGATAAAATGTCAACCCTAATTGCTATGTAAGCTGTTCATTAAAGGTAAGCACCCAGCAATATTACTGTTTCCTAAAGATAAGAGCCAGCTTCCTCCTTAGTTAAATTCTAGTTCCCTCGGTACAGAGCAGTCCTGGGGAGTATTTGAGAAGCTCGTGCCTTACATTGGTAATAAGTTGTGGGTGATTTGGGCTCATAAAATACTGTCTGACTAATAAAGAATTAATTTTGCAGGTCGAGAGATCCGCTTGCCCCTCCGAATCAGAGGAGAAGGGATGGGGCCCAAGATTCACTTCAACTTCGAATTGCTGGACATTGGCAAAGTTTTCATTGGATCTGCCCACTGTTACGAGGTAGGCACTGCCATTGTTCACTGAGGCTTCTGACAGAACCTGGCCTTTTTCTCTTTGCTTCTTTTGATGTGGTTTTTATTTGATAGAGACTTTGTAAGTCACCGTCCTTGTCCACTTTCTGTCTCTATTCCAACCTCTCTCCAACCCATGCTAAGTGGAGTGTCTTCTCCTAATCTTCTTACTTTATCAGATGCTCAAAGTCTTCAGCGCTGTAATTTCATTGGCTTTATCCTTCTCGATTTGTTGGCCGCAGAGGGAAAAGCCATAAATACACCTCCCCATCTGCCTAGTGCTTGTTCTCGGACAGCCCAAATCCTGCAGATCAGAGGGAAGAGGGCCGTGTGCATTTTCTCAATCCTAATGAGAATAGCTGTTTTCACACTTGGGGATCGCCCCGCAGTTTGCTCTTCCCCAGTCTGTGTTTTAAAAATCCAACCTTCTCACTTTCTGAAGGAGAGTCCTGTTCTCTGTCTTCCCAATTAAGCAGAAATCGGAATTTTTCAGGATGAATTTACGGTTCTTCAGAGCTGGCATCGCTCCAGCGCCACCTCACGGGCCAGCTTCTATGGGGTATACTTACACATAGATACCATGGCTGCCATGGAAACCTGCTTTTAGGCTCTCCTAAATTGTGAATGTTTGTATCTTAGGAAGGTAATGCAAGCAGCTATTTACTAAGTGACACGTAGCTGTCAGGTTCTGGGATGTAGTGCATGAGCGTGTGCATGAGTGCGCACGTGTGCATGTGTGTGCGTGTGTGTAATTTGCAATCCTTACAGAATTGTGAAAGGCAGAGTCTTTTATCCTTATGTCACCACAAATGCCAAGTGCATGTGGTTAATTCCTCTGCGCTCCTCCCTCTGGTGTGTTGATGCCCTGCTGGTGCTTGGAGTCCCTTCGTTCACTTAGGGAGCAAGGACACTTGCGCCCTCCATTTCTGCCTGAGTAAGCTGGGGCGCAGAGAAGTTTATCTAGTTAGGCTAATGCTGGATAAATACGGCGGGAAGGCTCAGCAGGCACTCCTATAGTAGAGTGTGGAGCCTGGAATCCCTCCCTTTTCACAGCATTTGCCTCCAGCATATTCTTGCTAGATTGCAGTCCCCCCACTGCCGCCCCCACCCCAGCTTTATCACATGCTGGCCGAAGGTTAAAGAGCTCTGAGGAACGTAGATGAGGTTTTCTTAGGAGGCAGCATTAGAGGTGTCATGTCACACTGTCGAGCGTGTTCTATTGTTTGTCTGTGTCTACAAGGGAGAACAGAGAATACAGCCATGATGGCCGTAGAGAAGACGGATGCAACTCTAACTGCTGTAGGTGGCAGGAACTTGGCCAAGTTACTCAGCTTGTAAATGTCATGAGCGCTGGGTCACTAATGCCCTCTATGGTATCTGTGCATAGGAGGAGCTTTACTGGCATTTCAGTCCTGCAGGTTCTCTGCAACCCATCTTTCCACAGCAAGTAAATCCAGCCTATAAGGAGAAGTGCCTTCACGGCATGGGGACAGTGTCCTTCATTCCCACGCTCACTGGGGTAACTGATCTAACTGAAGCAAAGCAAAGGAACACAGATGTCAATGTCAGGATTGATAATACACAAGGGAACACAATCTGAATGATATTAAGACGAAAAGATACACAGCTAAAACCTCTGCTCTTGAGAGAAGAGTCCCCGAGGCAGAGAAAAAGTATGATAGTTCTTATTCTTTGCTGTTGCTGTGTAATTTACCCCATATGCATTCTCCTTACACCTTACTGATTGTACTTTATGGATGCCACGTCACGAAAAGACAGTTCTAATGCAAAATAGATATGGTTTCCCCGAGTATAATGACAATTTTTGTAACAATTTAGCAGGCATGCCTAGATATTAACTGCAGAGCAAAACCCCAGCCAGCCAAAGTGTCCAATGAGGTGAGACATCAGATTGGGCAGAGTTGAGAAGTGGCAGAGAGGGACATGGTGGGGTGCGTCTCTGGGGGAGATTCTGCACTCTCAGCATTCCAGTGCTGACGCTTCGTCGAGTCTCTCCATTTATTACATTACCTCCTTGAGAAATTTGAATAACTAGCTGCTGAGCTTAGTCATTGCTGAGCTTACTAGATGCATTAAAAAAAAAAAACTATAGCCGGGCAGTGGCGCACGCCTTTAATCCCAGCACTCGGGAGGCAGAGGCAGGCGGATCTCTGTGAGTTCGAGGCCAGCCTGGTCTACAAGAGCCAGTGCCAGGACAGGCTCCAAAGCTACAGAGAAACCCTGTCTCGAAAAACTAAAAAAAAAAAAAAAAAAAAAAAACCTATACTTCCAAGAGTAGACACAGTATTCTCCAGTGTAACCCAGAGGGAAGACAAACGGGAGGCTGAGTTCTATTATAAGTGATCCAGAGTTGGACCTCAGGGGTAGGAGCCTCAGGATCATGTCCCAAACTATTAGCCAGATTCATTATTCATTAATAGATGTTTCTTTGTCAAGAACAAGAGAATGATAACATGTTCTCCAAGATAGAGGAATTGGGGCTGGGAGGATGCCTCCCAAGTAAAGTTAAGTGCTTCCTGTGTAAGCCTAAGGACCTGAGTTCATATCCCTGGAAACCACATAAAAACCTGGGCGTGGTGGAACTTGCCTGCAGTCCTAATGCTGAGGAGATGGAGACAGTAAGATCCCTGCACTGGCCAGCTAGTCTTACTAAACCAGTGAGCTCCAGGTTCGGTGAAAGACTCCATTTTAATAAATAAGGTGCAAAGTAATTGAAGAGGGTCCTGGATGTGACCTCTGGCCTCCACATGCACAGGTACACAGACATGCATCCATCTGCACACACAGGTACATACCACAGGAAAGCACTCATGCAGTGCATGCATGCATGCATGCACATGCACATGCACACACACACACAGAGGGAGGGGGAAGAACTGTCACTGCTCAGAAAACCTGGGAAAGATAGTCATGTTAACCAAATAACAATAAAAGCAACACACTGGGATTTGTGCTTGTGTCCAGAGAGAAGTACTATGGGCCATGAATACCTTAGAGAGTAGCCTTCAGGGTCACAGACATAAACAAGATATATTGTAAATGTATGGGAAATTTTCAAAAATTGCTTACTTTTGAAAAAGGAATAGCCTACAAGTTACAAGCATTTGTCAGTTACCCTTTAAACACAGGTAACTTCTATGCCCGCAGTGCTGAGCAAGGGGCCGTGTCGCTTTTACCTGTAAACTCTGTTACCAGATGCTACTCTCACAGCTACATGAACTAAGAAATTTATCCTTTCAGCAATATGAGGAGTTAAGAGGACAGATGGGGAAATTGGGGCACAGAGAACTTAGGGAGTTTGTCTAAATTGCTTAACTAGAAAGTCAGAGACAAAGCTGGGATTTGAACCCGGGCTCTCTGGCTCCTGAGTCCTCAGCCGTGGACATTTTCTGTGTGGTCTCTTTAAAAGTGAAAGAGAAGGACGCACAATTCAGACTCCAGGGACTTTAGAACAAGGAAGGCTGGAAATAGACATAAAAAGACGAGCCAAGCAGCGAGCAAGCTTATTTATGGTTTGTTTTGGCGCAGTAGTTATCTCTCACTGGCAGCAGTGGCTGTGTTCCTCTGCAGAGGACATGGTTTCTGGCCTACCTGTGCTCCGCTCTAAAGCTTGGTCTCCTGGACCTCCAGCCACAGCCACCTGATCTCCTTGGCCACCTGAGGCACTGTCCTGCCAAAGCAGTTGGTGCCATGTCGTGGGGGCTTCCCTAGCAGGGCACTGGGTCCCCATCGCTACACACACTCCGTCCTCCTGCCGTTCTCATCCTCACCACTCACTCTTATCTCAAACGGTGACCTGAGCCAGCCCGCCACACCTCATGTACCTCTTCCTCCTGGGACAGTGTCCTTTGGATCCTATAACCACACCCCATCACAATCACTCTGTTCCTCAAGGTCAGGGTGACCTCTCGTTATACAGAAGACACTCGACTCCTTTCCCAGAGCTCATTCTGCTGACCTCTGTCTTCATTTGACTTTTCTGGGACTCTTTCCTTAGCTTCCAGCATGTTCCGTCAGACCTCAGCATGTCTGTGTCTCACATTTTTCTACTAAATTTCTGGATGTGTTCCTTGGACACTTTTAAGTCTTCACTTAACCTTAGCCTCCTCATGCATATAAGAACTAGCTACAACCCCCTCCTTGCTTGCTTTATAGAGCATATTTAAGAGGTATTTTTAAAATCTTCATACATATATGGAAGTATGGTCAGTCTCCATATAGTGTGCAGAGGACAGATAACTAACTTGGTTTGATTAACTTCCAATGTCTTGGGTATGGATTAAGGGATGTTCCTATCCATCAAGGAAGGAAGCCAGTTACCTTTCTAGGTGTGAAGACAGAATTGTCAAGGAACAGAGGCCAAGAATAGAACGGTGTGACTGTAGTGGAGGTTCACGCACACACACACAGACGGTGAGATGCGGGTGGGAGCATCAGAATGAAACCAGCTGTGGAGGACTCTGCATGCCAGGCATGAGCTGCTCACATGTGCACTCAAAACCTACTGTGCCATCAGATAAGGACACTAGTCTGGTGCCAGGACATTAGCACACAGGAATAAAGCATCTATAGTGAAATGACTGCTTGCGTAAGACTCCCCAACAGCCCCTCATCCAATGCTGTGTGAGATGAACACATTCCAGGAGGATGAAATCACAGCACCACGGAGAGCATCCTTGTCACCTAGAGTCCCATCACAGGCACAGGCTCAGCAGTTGCTGCTGCTCCATTCTGATACGGTTTCTTCTCTTACAGCCTGCACTTAACCTTAGTTTCCTCACGCACTCGAGAAAATTATCTGCCTTCCTGTGGTTGCTTTCTAGAGAATTTTCATTCATAGATATAATTATAATCAGCCTTTTAGTGGTATGAGTATAATTCAAATGACTAACAATTTTAAAGATTTTTAAATTTTTAAGTTATTTGTATGTGTAGGTGGGGAGTATGTACCTGTAGTGTAGGTACCTGTGAAGTCCGTAGGCATCAGAGCTGGAGTTACAGGTGGTCAAGAGCCACTCGATATGATTCTAGGACCTGAACTTGGGTCCTCTATAAGGGCAGTGTGCACCTTTAACCTCTGAGCTATCACTCTAGCTCGAACTAACTGAATTTTAAAGAGAACACTGAAAGTGTAAAATGACCTGTGACTTAGGAGTCTAATCTTCAGTCATTCAGGATACCAGAGGATTCATTTCTCCTGAGAGTTTCCTTTCATTATAATTCCTGCAGTTTCCCCTGATGCTGAATAAGACATCATGTATTTACTTGAAAACTGAGTGCAGTTCCCTTGCCCTGATCACCTTTGGCTTTGATTGGCACAGGCGATCCTATCCAACAAAGGCAGCATCGATGCCCTCTTCAATGTGATCCCTCCAACTTCAGCCCTGGGGGCCTGCTTTGTTTTCAATCCTAAAGAAGGCATCATTGAACCGAGTGGGGTCCAAGCTGTCCAGATCTCCTTCAGTTCTACCATCCTGGGGCACTTCGAGGAAGAGTTCCTGATCGATGTTAACGGGTCCCCGGAGCCCGTGAAGCTGACCATTAGGTATGGGACATTTGTAACTAACGTAGAAACCAACCTGAGTTTTCCCTTCTGCTTTCTAGAGTCTGAAAAAGTAGGTCATATGCTGGCTGTCCATACTGTCTGTTGATATGAACCCATCAGCATAGTGGGATGTCTAAAATTCCCACCAGAGCTTCTCTCCTTAGTAGATGTCATTATAATACGGATGCAGATGCTACCTGAATATCCGTTTCTTCTATAAGTTGTAACCTATGCAATAAAGGTTTTAATGCAGACTTCTAGTTACACTCATCCACGTAATAACCAGGCCAGACCCTTCTGAGCTTCTGCAATCAGCTAGGTGTGTTCAGGGTGGTAGTGTACAGACTAGACCCTGAGGTGTAAACTGTTTGGAGAAAACAGGTTATTGCAGTAACACCTGAATCAGCCTGTGTTCTTGAAGACATCTTCTCTAGTCTCACAGTCTCTCTGAATCTCTGTCATTTATTTCTGTTGTATGGAACTGTCTTATTTACAATGCCCTCGAGCAGTGTGAAAGTGACCACTTATTAGTCTCCTAGCCAAGGCTAGATACTTACAGCTTTTTGCATAAAAATGTTTTGAAGGGGTTTCCAACTGTTTGTGGTCACTGGTGGTCATGAATAGCAAGCAGAATTTGTCCGTGGGATTTGAAAAAAAAATCTCTTTTTGTAACAAACCAGGTAGGTATACAATATTGACCCCTGGTGCTTAAAAAGACCATTTCTACCAAATAGAAAGATACCTTCAGAACACATCACTCTGGTCTGCTTTTTTTTTTTTTTTAAGAAATCCATGGACGTCTCTCTTGGGGTTAGTGATAGCAGCAGGTCCCATCCTTCTACAAACCAGTGTGTCTCTTGGAGCCTGGAATAGCACTGGAAAAAGAGACAAATTGTGCTATCTCCCCAAAACTGTATAGATCTCAGCTGGGCTGTGGTAGTGCACACCTTTAATCCAAGCAGAGACAGGTGGATCTCTGTGAGCTTAAGGTCAGCCTAATATATAGAGAGGGTTCTAGGACAGGCTCCAAAGCTACTGAGAAACCCTGTCTCAAAAAACAAACAAAAAATGTATAGATCTCATTCAGAATCTTGACATCAGTCCAAAGGCTCTTATTCTCAGACCCAACCCAAGAATCCTTTTATGGGCTGGATTGTGTCCCCAGACTTTCAGTGTTGAGGCTTAGCACCTCGGAATGTGACTGCTCTTGGAGAGGAGACCCTTGAGTAGGTAATAAAGTTAGGATGAGGTCATATGGGTGGGCTCTAATCCAATAGATTTGGGTTAGCAGTGAGGATTAGGACACAGACACAAACAGACGAAGGCACAGGTAAAGATGCCTTCTCCAGCAGAGGGCAGAAGCTCAGGAAGCAGCAGCTACTGCCCAGCCTCACCCTTCCAAGAAGGACGAGAATGAGTTCCTGCCGCTTGCTGTTCAGTGTGTAACATTTGACGTTGTTGTTACAGACAGTCCCGAGTAATTAAGGAGTCTAAATGGCTGTTCCTCGTGGGGTGTATGCATGGCACTCAGCCCATCACATCAATTAGGATTTTCTTAAAGCCTCAAGACTTCTCTGAAATACTCTTAAGACACTTATAATTTCTCCTTCAATATATCTGTGTTTGTTATAATATTAAAAGTCAGTTCAGGCATGGTGTTTGTCACACACCTGTCATCCCAGACTAGAGGTAGAGGTAGGAAGATAGGAGTTCTAGATCATCTTAAGTTTTATGGCAAGTTTGAGGTCAGCATGGGCTACAGGAAACCCTATCTTTAAAAAACTATTAAAAATTAGAGTTGTGTGGGTGGTGGCGCACGCCTTTAATCCCAGCACTTGGGAGGCAGAGACAGGTGGATCTCAGTGAGTTCGAGGCCAACCTGGCCTACAGAGTAAGTTCCAGGACAACCAGGGCTGTTACATAGTGAAACCCTGTCTTGAAAAAAAAATGGAGTTGTTTCCCAAATATTTGAAAGTGCATTCTCCTCCAGAAGGTGCAACATATGTGCACTGACCCATGATTTACGTCCTCCCGGCGTCTGTCCCATAGGAGAAAGATGAAAGGACAGTTTCCCGCAGCATGAGCATCAGCCCTTTCTTATGTCCATAGCAACTCCCACCTCATGGCAAACTGTTCATCTGGGCCCTTAAGGCTTCTTTATCATCTCTAGCAGATCAATTCTTTAAGCTTTTGAATCAAACTTTCCTACTTGATTCAATTTCTTGACATCAAAATGTCAAGAGTCATACCCCCTACAATATCCAGCATGTCAACATGCCTCCATACAAATAAAACTTGCACATCTCCTCCTTTGTATCTTTATAACTATAGACATAATAATCCTTACCAATAAACCACCATATAAAAAGATTAAACACCAGAATCAAATGGATTTTACCTCAGAAATTCAAGGCTGGTTCACATATGGAATTCAGTCAACATGGTGCAACATATATAATATCAACAAAATCAAAGAATCAAAGAATAATACAGATGTTATCTCAGTAAATATAAAAAGGCATTTGCCAAATTCACAGTCATTCATGACTTAAAAAGGAAAAGAACTCAAAGCTTAATAATATAAAGAGATTTTCTCAGCATAAATCAGAGACCCAACACAATGAAACTGTTTAAAGTAAGCACACATAAATATACATGACTCTGGATTAGACACTGGTTTCTCTAACAAGACACCTAAGCACAAAACAAGCAAAGACAAATAAATAAATTAGACTTCATCAAAATGTAAAAAGATTTGTGCTTCAAAGTACACTATCAAACCAAATGGGAGATTATATTTGCAATCTACATATCTAATAAGGGGCTTCTAACACACACACATAATAAAGGACTTCTAACATATATAAATAAATAGTTACAATGCAATAAAAAGACAAATAACAAAATTTAGAACTACGCAGATTTTTAAGATACTTAGGTGCAAAAGATAAAAAAGATATAGGTATGAAGGTATGAGCAACAGCATGATTGGGGAAATGTTTATCAAGAAAACCCACCCCACCATCGTGTGGTTGGCCATAAGGAACACCGTGGAAAAGCGACCACTAGTGAGAATTTGGAGGAATGAGCACATTTACATGTTGATGGTCGTATGATGGTTACTGCTAACTCTCCACTTGGCAGGATCTAGAATCACCCAGGAGACAAACCTCTGGGCTGGTCCCTAGACTGCATTAATTTTGGTGGGAAGATCACTGCTTGACCGCTCTTGACACGCGTGCCATTCCTGACAGGCATGTCGCTTCCAGCACGCATGTCCTTTTTGAGCACGTGTGTCGTTTCCGACACACATGCCGTTCCTGACCCACGTGTCTTTCCCGATACACGTGCCATTTCTGACACACGTGCCCTTTTCCGGCACACGTGCAGCTTCCGACACGCGAGCTCATGCGTGTCCTCACTGACACGCAGGCCGTTCCTGACACGTGTGTCCTTTCTGACATGCGTGCCGTTCCCGACACGTGTGCCGTTCCTGACAGGCGTGCCCTTCCTGACACGCGTGCAGTTCCTGCCATGCGGTCCTTTCTGACATGCGTGCCGTTTCCGACATGCGCGCCGCTCTTTGACACGCATGCCGTTCCTGACACGCATGCTGTTCCTGAGCCAATGGTGGGAGTCGAAAGTCTAAATATTATGAACTAAACTATATAGCACATCCAAAATTTCCAGGGACGAATGACTCCTTTTTGGCACACGCATCGTTCCTGACACACATGCCGGTCCCGACACTCGTGGGTTCCTGTGCCCTTTCCGACATGTGTGCCCTTTCTGAAATGTGCATGTCCTTCTGGCATGTCCTTTCCGACACGCATGTCCTTTTCGACACGCCTGCCATTTCCGGCACGCGTGCTGTTCCCGACACGCGTGCCCTTTCTGACACGCCCGTCGATCCTGACACGCATGTCCCTTCCGACACGTGTGCCATTTCCGACACGTGTGTCCTTTCTGACACGTCATTTCCGACACGTGTGTCCTTTCTGACACGCGTGCCGACCCTGACACACATGCCCTTTCCAACACGGGTGTCCTTTCTGGCACGCGTGCCGATCCTGACACGTGTGTCCTTTCTGGCATGCGTGCCGATCCTGACACGCGTGTCATTTCCGACACGCGCGCCCTTTCACGCGTGCCCTTTCTGACATGTGTCGTTCCTGGCACGTGTGTCATTCCTGACACGCGTGTTATTTCTGGCACGCGTGCCACTTTTAACATGTGTGCCGTTCCTGACACGCATGCTGTTCCTGAGCCAATGGTGGGAGTCGAAAGTCTAAATATTATGAAGTAAATTATACAGCACATCCAAAATTTCCAGGGACGTATGACACTCCTTTTTGGCATGCGCATCGTTCCTGACTCACATGCCGGGCCGGTCACTCGTGCCGTTCCCGTGCCCTTTTCTGACACGCGTGCCTGACACGCGTGTCCTTTCTGACAAATGTGTCCTGTCTGACACACTTGTCCTTTCCGACATGCGTGTCCTTCCCGACACATATGTCCTTTCTGACATGTGTGCCGCCCTTGACACGGGTGACACGCATGCCGCTTCCAACATGTGTGCCGTTCCTGACACACGTGTCCTTTCTGACATGTGCTGTTCCTGACACGCGTGCCATTTCCGACATGCGTGCCCTTTCTGACACGTGTGTCCTTTCTGGCATGTGTGTCGTTCCTGACACGCGTGCCTTTTCCGACATGCGTGCTGTTCCTGCCACACATGCCGTTCCTGACACACATGCCGTTCCTGACACACATGCCGTTCCTGAAGCCAATGGTGGGAGTCAAAAGTCTAACTATTATGAACATCCAAAATTTCCCGGGACGTACGACTCTCCTTTCCTAAATGTAATAGCATGATTGAAGACTCATTAGGTCTCCAGACCATAAACCATTGCCTGTTTAAGGCAGGCGTTTGGGAAGCTAAATGACCTCTGAGACCGTGAGGGTCCCAGTTAGTAAATTCCTACTCCAGTGCACTGCAC